TCCCAAAAGCATTTAGGGTTTTAGAGAGAAGATTCAAGAGGAGAAAAAGTTCAAAGTTTCAATCGTTCGTTCAAGAAATTCAAGATTTCGCCAAGAACCTAGTTCTTTGAGGTATGTAAGTTTCCATACTGTTGGGTTCGTTCACCCACATGCCAATCATGAGTTTCTTTCGCAAATCTATCCATAAATATTGAGCAACTTAATTTCTTGATGAGTTCTTGATAAGTGTTCTTGAAGTTTCCTTATCGATTAAGTTTTGATGTAAGATTCTACTTGGGTCAACTTCAAAGGACCATATCTCTTAGAATATAAAGATTTATGCGAGTCATAACCGATTAAATTAAATGTATTTGAATTTACTTTCCAACTCCACCAATTTCGCATCAATCCAATTTTTGAGTAAAACGTTATGACTATTTTAGTAACATATATAGTGCTGTTATGAATTTAGCCGACGGGATAACATTAAAATGGGTTGTTTTTGTTTTTTTACCTCCAAGAAAACCCTAAACAAATTTCTTGACTAATAAAAGGCTCAAAACAATCAGATTTTCATCTTTTAATCCATCATTCTCGTCTCTCTCAAACCCTAGGGCAAAACCCTAAGGAAAAATCAAAGTAGAAGACTCCATTAAAGATTCTTTCAATCTTTTTCAAGATTCTTCTTCAATGCAAGTCTTTTTCCAAGAATTCCATTTTTTTCAACTCAAATTCCTCCATACAATTATGAATCACGAATGAAAATCATAATTCTTGGCCATAGAGATTTCAAGAAACTAATTCAAGAATCTCAAGAAAGGTTTTCTTGATCGCTTACCTTCAAGCTAGGGTTTCGAAACTTCTAATAAATTTCTTCTTTATGATCCTTTCAAAATTCTTCAAGAACCATGTTCTTCCAGGTATGTTAGGCTATCAAAGTGTGGTACTAGTTCGTCCTCACACCCTACATGTACTTTCAAATCAGTAAAAGAGAAATCTAGGATTCTACCCTAGGTTTGAGTATTGTTGAGATAAGTTGATTTTGAGTTCTTGAGTTCATGCTTCTTTTAAAAGTTCTATTCCTAATTATAGAATTGCTATATTGTTATTGAGATCCTTCATATCATGAATCATAACTCTTGAATTCAAAATTAATAATTCAAATTCAAGAAAGAGTTAAGAGTAGAGTTCAAGAAAGTCTTTGAGTTCAATTGTGAATCCTTTGAGATCAACTGTCAATTTGAGCTAAGTTTTGAGGAAGTAAGTAGGAGAATGAGAAGATTTGTATACCTGAGTTCCATATTGTTATTTAGAGCCTTGAGTTGAGTTGTTCATGCCCATAAATTTCTCATGAACTCCATCAGTTGAGTATCTTTGAGAGGAGTAGTATCTTCAAGTTCTAAATCTTAAGTATTGAGTTCCTAATCATTTTGGGATTATATTCCTAATCATGGGGCTACTACATGTTACCCATGAAGGTCCTTGAGTTGAGTAGTTTATGCCAATAATTCCGCACGAACCCTATGAGTCGAGCAGTTTGAGATGAGAGGTATCATTAACATTCTTGAGTTGAGTCGTTCATGTCCATAATTCCGAATGAACCCTATGATTTGAGTTATAATTTTTTTTAAAAAAAATATTTTAAAGCCAACACTTAAGTTCTTAAACTGAGTTTTGAGAAAAGAGTTTTT